TCTCTCTCTCTCTCTCTCTCTCTCTCTCTCTCTCTCTCTCTCTCTCTCTCTCTCTCTCTCTCTCTCTCTCTCTCTCACCCATAGTATTATGTCCTTTTTTGATCTAATATGTGTTTGGAGTTTAATTTAGAGTCTTTTCAAGTCAAGGTATGTTTTGGAGCAATGTGGAGACTATGAAATATTTTGGGGTTTTATGATGAAGAAACTCTTGTTGCTGAAGATCAGAACTCAGAGTCAATATTGAGGAAGAGTATCGACTGAAAACACTCTTTTTTCATCGATCGATAGGGAAACGCGAGAAGGGCTGACTTGTTGGTGACCGACTAAAATCCCAGAAGTTCCAAATAATTACAAGACTACAGTTGGTCGACTTTACACCTAGTATTTAAGTGTTTTGCCATTGTTTGGGCAAGATACCATGTTTCAAAACCTATTCCATATTCAGAAGTTTTTAGTTAGATTTGGAGAGAATATCCAAGACTCCTTCAGAGATTTGTATTGGAACTACATTGTTTCAGATTCCTTATTATATTTTATGCTTTCTATTCAGTTTGTTATCATGCTTTTCTTGATCATGTCTCAGTAGTTCTCTTTGTTAGATTTAGGATTATGAAAGATTAGCCAAAACTATAGAATTTCTAAAGTTATAGAGATATCAATGAATTGAATTGCTATTAATGATTGTGTTTTACAGTAGTTAAATAGAACCCTGGCTTTAGAATTATAGACAACTATGATAGTAGGTTCTTCACTGATTCAATTCTTTTGAGCTAGGTCGCTAGATACATGCGACAGTTGGTCTAGGAAGTTAGTGAACTAATCAGATAGGACTATAAACTCGATTTAATGTAGCCTCCGATCAATGTTCAGCTTCAACCATCGACCGACGTTCATTCTGTGTTTACAAGCGAAAGTTTGAACACTGGACTTAAATAATTATTAGACTCACATTTTGAGAGTTGTATATATTTACATTAGAGTTCGATTTCTAAAATATCATACATCACCTTTAGTTTCTATAACTCTATAATCCTGATTACCTGAAACCCTAGATCTAACTATTTTCTCTTATTGTTTACAAACCAATCAATCACCTATTTACTTATAAACGGCTTATTAATTACTTATCTAGCTTAATCGTTATATATATAAGTCTATTGTGTGCCCTCACTCCATGTGAATTCGATCCCTAAGTAGTACAACTGAACATTTTATTTGAGTGAGTAATGTTGCTCAGAGGGTAATTTGAGTGATATTAGTGTACTTCATATCGGGTCTGAGAAGCAACATTATAATTCTTGGTCAGGCCACAGAGGCAGAGTGTGAGGTTCGTATGAAGGATGAACAATTTACTTTTGTATGATCAGAACGGAGAACCTATGGTGAGAACGAGAAGGTCTAAAAATTGATTATAAAAAGTCATCATAGAAGTTGAGAGAGTCGAAACCCTATAGCTAGTTTTAACAAAAGAGACAAGTACGTGGCAAAAACATGAAACTATGGAAATGATGACCTATAAGGAACTTGTACCAGGCATACCAAATATTTTTGGAGAGAAGAAAACATGTGTGTTTTAATTGTAGGAAGACCCACAAGCAACTACATACAGAGCTACACAAGTTCTAGAGTTGATACATGGTGATCTTTGTGGACCAATCACACCTTCCACACCGGCAAATAAAAAGTATTTTTTTCTAATCATTGATGATTACTCTCGTTAGATGTAGACGATCTTACTACAAGAGAAGAGTGGAGAATTTGAGAAGTTAAGAAAATTCAAGATACAAGCTGAACAAAAAACATAAGGTTCCATCAAAAAATTCCGCACAAATAGAGAGGGAAAGTTTACATCACATGGATTTCAAGATTTTTGTGAGAAACATGACATCAATAGACACCTCACAGTACCTTATTCACCTCAACAAAATGGTGTGGTAGAGAAGAGAAATAGAACTTTACTAGAGATGACGGGAAGTATGTTGAAACACATGAATGTACCAAATTATCTCTGGGGTGAAGCCATCAGGCACATTACGTATTTGATCAATAGAGTGGCAACAAGGTCACTAGCGGTTGGACAGCCACCATACAAAATATTTAAAGGAAGGAAACTGAATCTCAGTCATCTTAGGGTGTTTGGTTGTATCAGATATGCAAGAACTGAGATAGTTGGAAGGAAAAAGTTAGATGATAAATCAATGACAGTTGTTCATCTTGGAACAGAACGTTGATCGAAACCATATTGACTTGTTTATCCAATTAATAGAATAATTATTGTCAGTAGAGATGTCATATTCAATGAAGATAAAAGATGGAACTAGAGTGATAAGAAAGAAGTAGACTATAAAGACTCTGAAAACTTTAGTCTACGATTTGGAAAGTCTGTCCAAAGAGATGATGAAGATTCACAAGATAATTATTCTAGTCGAGATATGAATGGAACCGAGTATATTGATGAAAATTGTGACGAGAACGATGAAACAGGGGCCTTGTCACATGATGAAACAGAAGAAGGCGAAGAATAGGGGGAAATAGATCAATCTAAAACAAGAATATCAACAAAAATACTGAGGAAACCAGAGTACCTAGGCGATTATATATGTTTTGCTAGCATAGAATGCGAAAGATTTTTGATGATTATTAATGAAGAACCGTGGGATTTCAATGAAGCAAAGGATTCAAAATTGGATATTAGCATGTGAAGATGAAACTACATCCATCATAAAGAACAAGACATGAGACTTAGTTGATATACCTATCAGTGCTAAATCTATTGTGCTAAAATGGGTCTTCAAGATTAAAAAGAATCATGAACAAAGTGTGAATAAGTACAAAGCACAGCTGATCGTGAAAGTGTATGTACAAATACATGGATATTATTTCGATGAGGCCTTTGCCCCTTGTTGCACGCATTGAGAGAATCTGCTTCATAATTTCTTTAGCTGCATCAAAGAGTTGGGAAATACACCATCTTGACATCGAAACCGCCTTCCTTCATGGAGAACTAAAATAAGTAGTATATGTGAAGAAGCCGAAAGGATCGAGGTTAGGGGAAGTGAAGACAAAGTATATAAAATTAACAAGGCACGATATAGATTAATACAATCTCCAAGAGTATGGAATACAAAGCTTACCAATATTCTCAAAGAGATAAGTTTCAAGAAGTTCTCAAAAGAAACTTCTCTTTATCGTAAGAAGGAAAAGGATCGTCTTCGTATTGCTGCGGTGTTTACGTTGATGATCATTTGATCACCAGCTCTAGCATAAAGATGATACTTGAAACAAAGATGAAGATGTCTACAAAGATTGAGATGAGTGATCTTGGGAAGTTGACTTATTACCTCAGTATATAAATGCTTCAACATAAAAAATGCTATAACCTTGTGTCAAGAAAAATATAGGCATAAGATCCTAGAGGAAGCAGCGATGGACGACTGTAATGCATCTCGGGTACCAATGGAACAAAAGTTGAGAATGGTAAAATGATTAGAAGAGTGGCGGATCAACGAAAAGGTTTACATAAGAAGCATTGAATGTCTCCATGGAAATGCTTAGTGCCTATATAAGGGAACCCAGAGAGTTACATGGAGAAGTATTACATGGACTCTTGCGATACCAGCGTGGAACTATATCATATGGTTTACGAACACTCAAACGGCATGGGTTTGGTATGCTATAGCGATAGTAGTCACAATTCTGATACAGATGAAGGGCGGAGTAGAACAGGTCATGTATTTTACTTTGAGAAGTGCCCTATTACATGCTGTTCGCAGAAACAAGAAACCGTTGCACTTCCTTCATATGAAACTGAGTCTATGGCAGCAATGGAAGCAGCAAAACGAGCAAGTTGGCTTCAGGAACTCTTTGCTGAAATGGCCAGAAAAGAAAGCAAAATTATGATAATATAGATTGACAACAAATCAGCAATAGCACTTACAAAAACTTTAGGGTTTCATGGACGAAGAAAACATATACATAAAAGATTTCACTTCATACGAGAATGTGTAGAATGAACAAGTGGAAATTGAACATGTTCCTCGAAGTGAACAGAGAGCAGATATTCTAATAAAGTAGGTTGGAATATCAAAGTTCAAGGATGATGAATCTTATTAGAGTTCAAGATGTGAATAAATCTTAGTTTAAGCTTAAGCGGGAGTATGTTGGATTCAACTTGATGTTAATTTGAGTTACAAGCTATCATACTACCGAGATATACTTCACACTAGTCCAGATCTCTCCTTCTCTGTGGGAATTCTTAGTCGCTATATGAGGGAACCAAGAGAGTTACATGGAGAAGTATTAAAGGGACTCTTGCGATACTTGCGGGGAACTATATCATATGGTTTGTCATACGAACACTCAAACAGCGCGGATTTGGTAGGCTATAGCGATAGAAGTCATTATGCTGATACAGATGAAGGGAGGAGTACAACAGGTAACGTATTTTACTTTGAGAAGTGCCCTATTACATGGTGTTAGCAGAAACAAGAAACCGTTGCACTTCCTTCATACGAAACTGAGTTTATGGCAGTAAAGGAAGAAGCAAAACAAGCAATTTTGCTTCAGGAACTCTTTTCTGAAGTGGCCGGAAGAGAATGCAAAAATATGACAATACAAATTGACAAAAAATCAGAAATAACACTTACGAAAGCCTTAGTGCTTCATGGACGAAGAAAACATATACATAGAAGATTTCACTTCATAAGAAAATGTCTAGAATGAAAAAGTGGAAGTTGAAGATGTTCCGGAAAGTGAACAGAGAGCTGATATTCTAATGAAGTCGGTTGGAAGATTAAAGTTCAAGGAATGATGAGTCTTATTGGAGTTCAAGATGTGAAGAAATCTGAGTTTAAGTTTAAGGAGGAGAATATTTGATTCAACTTGAAGTTAATTTGAGTAACAAGCTATCATACTACCGAGATATGGTTTACTAAAGAGATTAGGAAATATCTAAATGTTACGACTATTAGGTTTAGGAGTTATTTATTCCTTCATAAGGAGATGCCAAAGTGTGTCCTAACTTAGAACTTATAAGTTTTAGGATTGTGTGAGATATTAAAGATTTAAGTGGTTTTCCTTAGAGATTAATAAGAGAGTTATTCTTATTCATTGAGTTCATACAATCGAGATTCTATACCTCGATGTTTCATGAAAGATATTATATTCTTTCTCATTAAATTACTGAGAGAAAAAAAAAATTAAACCCTTTTTCAGATGATATTTTCTTAGTACCTGCCAGTAGAGAATTTCTTGCACAGGCGCCGAAGAAGGATCTCCTTCAGGCCACATTGGAATCACTATGTATACTGCAAATCTTTCCCTAGCCCTTATCTTGCTGGCAATCTTCAGTGCAAGTTCTATGGGAACTAGATTATCAGCACCTACGAAGTAATAATATAAACAGTTACACAAAATTTTAAATAATTGTATCTGTTATATATTAACCAAGTCGAGTGTCTTCAAAGACCTGATTCTTTGTAATTCGGCCATACAAAAGATGATCCAATAAAATATTGATTCTCGATATATATAAAGTGTTGTGCAGATCTGATAGCTTGGATGTAAGCTGTCTGTATACTCTTCTCAATCACAAGATTCTTGGCACATACCAGATTCTGTCAATAAGTATAGCACAAAATATATTTTTTTAAATAGTTTGATTAACACAGAAGCAGTTGTGCACAGAAGAAGAGGATAACAATATTGGGTTTTTTCTTATGCGAGACCTGTGCGTGAGCTTTATGAACATCCTTAGGAAATCCTTTCAATGATCCTGAATCAATAGACCTGAAGATCTGTAGTTAACAAAAAACAAAGTTGTTCATATTGATTTCCAAATCTACCTACGAGAGACCATGTTAGTCGAAGTCATAGACAATTATTATAATGTACCAATTTAAAAAAAATTGTAAAGGAATCACCTAAACTTACCTGAACATTCCAATTTTGCTGATCGTTGTCCTTAGAGACCCATAAAGTATCATTTGTTGAAACTGATGCAGACGTGTTTAAAATCCACGAGATTCGTTCCAGTTTTATCAGAGAATCATCGTGCCAGCGAGTCACCCTCTTGAATTTTTGTCCAATCTCAGACCATTTTGTAGCTTTTCTCCAACGTTGCTCAAAGTTTATGAGTATATCGTAAGCTGCTGGCCCTTCAATTTTGCAGTGAAGATCATGCCACGGTTGCCTAGGGGCTTTGGTTCCTCCCTTCCATTCCGAATTTGTGCACATATAACAAGGTCAAATTAAATATTTGGAGACATGGTTGTGCCAAGTGCGTAATTTGGAAAACCTTCATATAACCTTTTTCTTTTATTATATATTTAGTTAGTTTGCTATTTGGGGGGGGGGGGTGTTTGGTGCTATTTTGGGGGTATATTTTAATGGAACGAAAAAGACCACTTTTCATTCCATTAAAATCTAAAGAAACAACTTAAAGTCTTTTTTGTAACTATGAAACAACATCATGTTAGAACTAAATCTAAGACTAATGTTAAAATTCAAACGTTGTAGTTTTCTTTTCTAACAGTTTTACTTTAGAACAATGCCTGTAGCATTTGTGGATGTTCTTTTCTTAAAACATATAGAACTTCTATAAACGTAAGCATTCCTTTTTGGAGATTATCATATTTGAACTAGAACATAAATATAGTTTAAAAGAATGAAAATAATAAACTTACTGAAAATGTGGGATTGTGGTAATCACCCTCGAAGACCGTGCCCAAGCCCTTGAAAAGTCTATGTTCAGGTGTGTCATATCGACCATCACACAGATCAAGTCCTCCAATAAAAGCAGTTATTTTTCTGTTGTTACCGGATGCTTGTGTATCCACAATTACACATTTTTGATGATGCGAAAAGACTGTGCCCACAACCTAGTCCATATGCCATTAAAACACTGCAGGATCATCATCATGAAATATATAACTTAGGTAAAATGCACAGTTATGTGTCACTGGTATAAAAAAAAAGTAGAAGAACTAGAAATAAATAAGAAAAAGTAGTAATAGAAAAATAACACAGCATACCTGCTGCTTGAAAATGCTAAGCTTACTACTAGCATAACGGGGCGCCAGCACACACGAAACTGAAGAGCGCCTAAAGAATTTTCGAGTTTCTTCATCGTGCGTTTGCATTACTCCCGTCTAGATTAAGAAGTAAGACGCAAATTCTTAGGATCGAAACCTTAAAATTTAGAACAAAAAATTTTAATCTATATATCTAGTCGATGCTGAAACAGATTGGTTACCGTGTTGATGAAGAATTTGCTGTGAGAAGTTCTATCATCCCATACCAACAATAGCACCCTGACACCTTCTTGTGATTTATACTTTAACAGATCACCGAGACAGAGATCCCCGCCATTGGGTAGTGTCGGCGACTGATCCCTCACCAACTTTACTTTGTGGAAAATCGACCAACCAATAACGTAAATCATGTGGTGAGCCTCCAAAATTGAGTGACATATGTCTTCCCAGCATCGTGCATGCTGGTACAGAACTCCGTCTTCTAACTCAATTTCTGGCATGTTGTCATGCACGTGAGCGTCCTGGTACAAAGTGACGTGCCCACCAGTCCTCACCGGAAAATAACAATTTGCCACTCCTGTTGACGTAACCCCATTAGCATAAAGAGGGTTCTTCTCACACGGCACAAATCTCATTTCCAACCGAACAGCAGAATCTGGTTTCGGCGAGCCAATGATGGGGAACCATCCGCTGATCGTCTCACCTATTTTAATTTTAACAGCAGAGACTTTTGCGATTCCGATCAGATCTGCTCCGAAAACATCGTTATCCTTTACATAAAATTCAATTTGAGAGACTGGATGTGCCAATGGAATTTTAAAATTCTCGCTCCAGACAGGATTTTGGGAATTTGAAATAACACGGGTACGCGCTACCGTAGCACCGGCGAGGCAAACAGTTACGTATGGGTCACTAGTGATTATATTGTTACGTGTACGCCTATGGCTACTATTAGGAGAATAACAATGCTTGTCGAACAAATTTAATGTGTTAAAGACACGACGAATCCTTTCAAAGTGAAGATCCATGTTGGGCAAGTATCGTGCCTCAATGATTTGGAGTTCAAGATCTCCATGAAGGTAAACTAAACCATTTGGTTTCTCATTCGCCATTGATGTGAAACGCTGAAGCACGTAAAAAAACAAAGAAAGAGACAAAGTTGTCACAATTTGCAATTTCTCCAAAGCCAACGGTGAAAAAACCGAAGGCCTTGATAAACTGAAGGGGAAAAAAATAAAATTTTGTTGTAATACTCTTATTTTTATGATAGTTAAAGTTTTTGAATACAACACGTGGTAGGTAAGGGTTTGAAAGAGGTGTATAAAGTTGATAAATTTAAGATCAGTTCAAAAAAATAAAAGTTGATAAATTTAGATTATGCCAAAGATAGTGCTAACTGCTAAGTTAAATATTTATATTTGATTTCTTCAATAACAACAAACGGGAAGCACGCAGAACCAATGCATTTTGTTTTACAAACTACTCTAAACTAGATATATATTAATTAAGATCTAAGAGCATATGCAATGGTGAGGTTCACCAATGAATCCTTATGCATATTTTAGTAATTTTTTTTTTTTGGTTTTTGTTTGAATAGTTAAGGATTCGAATCAAAACTGGTCGTCTAATGGTGTTTTCGAAGATGGAGTCCTTAGAAAATTTAAATTGAAATTGAAATTTTATTAATTGAATGATTAAAAATAAAGATATAATAATTAAATATAAAAATATAAAGATACATTAATTATTAATTTCCATCACCAAATTTGTTCTAAATATTTTCGATTAAATCATTCTTCAATCGTTCATGCATATGGCTATCACGACGATCATTCTGATTGGGAAACATATTATTCAGATTTGTTTAAACAAGAAAGAAAAAACCATATACTGTATGCAATACTCCACATTTCAAACCTGGGTACTACTGAGTCTATATCAAAAGCCCCATCAGGTGGTATGAAAGATATCGTCCTATCGTGCCAATCAAACACACCTACATTTGTCCAGACACATGTACAACTCAAGTATTGAAAAAAAGTGGTCTGGACAAGTGACTAGCAGAGAATGTTTGGAGTTAAAAAGAGAGAAAAGCGTACTGATGAAATTTGATGTCCTCCAAATCAATAGCTTTTCCTTTTTGTTGCTCGTCCCCTGCATCCTGAGACCTTTCAGCATCTTTGATTCGTTGGACAGCAACAGAAAATCTAGTAGCAATACAGTTTGGATGAAGTTTAGCTGCCTGAAGACAAAAAAAAATAGTAAGCTGTGACCAAGACTGTTAGTTTTAAGGGTTAGATAGTGAGTTAAGAGCAAGAACCTTCTCCAAACATTTGCTTGAACTTCTGTGATCTCCCATCATATAGTAGGAATTAGCAAACTTAAGGCCTTCTCCAAACATTTGCCTCATGTTCGACTCTCCCTTAAGGCCTGCACAAACAAAATTGCAAGTTTCATCAAAAATAGGGCTGGGCACTATTACTTGATACCCGGTTTATACTTGCTACTTGACTCGGTTTGGTTTGAAAAATCAAGTACTTGGCATAAACAAGTCGAGTAACAAGTAAACAAATTTTATTACTCGTAAGTACAAGTCAAGTATCAAGTCTATTTTTATTTTTAACTACTTGACTTGTTACTTGGTTTGTTACTTGGTTCGTTACTTGTTATCAATTACCTGTTTCGTTATTTGTTATATAATACTTAGTTTATTCAATATTTGATATATACTTTATTAGTTAATTAAAAAAATTATCTAATGCATTGTATTTCCATCACAACTAAAAAGGAATGGTGTGTTTAATAATAATACTGAATTTGAATTAAGTCCAACAAAACTAAATTATTTGGCTAGTACCAATTGTTTTAGCCCAATGAAAACTCTTGCGTTTATATAGAGTCAAAAGTAAAACTCTGTGTTTCACACAGATCTTTTTCACACGAGATATTTTTACGGAGCCGAAACCAAGAGAGTTAGGGTTTGAAAGTCGAAACTCAGTTTGCTTCTTTACCTCACTATCGTAAGTTGTTTGATCTTAAATTATAATTGCTATCTTTGACCCTCATAATCTCTCATTTAGGATTTGATTTACTTTGACTTGTTCAGTTCTAAGATGAATGTTTAAAAAAGAGATTTTCCAGTCGGTTATTTATGTATAGATGCTTAATAATATTTCTTTTTTTTGTAAATGTTTATGCGTAGATGGAACCGGAGAAACGTAAAGAACATCCAAGAGCTGATGCAGAGGAAATGGATACAGAGTATGGTGGTGAAACAGCTCCAACAGCTGACGTTGAATCTAAGGTAACTCCTAAGGAAAGATCTAAGGCATGGGAAAACTTTAAGAGAACAGAAGATGGAAACAAAGCAAAATGCAATCATTGTGGTCAACTAGTTACTATTAGATCACCGTCTGGTGTCAATACTAGTACTATGTTGAAACATATGATAAGGTGTAAAAAGCTGCATCCAGAGCTTGAGGTTGAGACTGTTGCTGGTAAAAGAGTTAAGCAAGCAACCTTAATGCATCAACCCAAAAAAAATAAGGATGAGGAAGCAGTTCCATCATACCTACAGTATGATAAAGATGACTGCAGAAAAGGTTTAGTCAGAATGATTATAAAGGACGAGTTGCCTTTTAGAGTTGTGGAGAAGGAAGGTTTTCGTGAATTCATATATGTTCTGCAGCCTCGGTTTCAAATCCCGTCTCGTAGATCTATCATAAGAGATTGCTTCAGTTTGTTTCTTGAAGAAAAGAAAAAGTTGAAAGTGTTCTTTCAGAATCACAAAGGGAGTGTTTCGCTTACAACCGATACCTGGACTTCAGTTCAGAACATCAACTACATGTGCTTAACCGCACATTTCATTGATGAGAATTGGAATCTGCAGAAAAAAATCATTAACTTCTGCCAAATTCTGAGTCACAAAGGTGAACTAATTGGGAAAATGGTTGAGAGATGCTTGGTGTCTTGGGGAATCAGCAAAGTTTTTACAATCACAGTAGACAATGCAAGTTCAAATGATGTAGCAATCAGATTCTTAAGAAGAAGACTTAAGTCATGGGGTACTTCTCTACTTGATGGTGAATTTCTTCACATGAGATGTGGTGCACACATCTTAAATCTGGTTGTCAAAGATGGATTAGAAGAAAATAAAGCTTCGATTAGTCGAATACGTTCTACTGTTCGGTATGTTAGATCTTCTCCAGCAAGGTCAGATAAATTCAAAGAATGTCTTCTTCACCTTAAGCTTTCGTCTACTGCTGGTGTGTCTCTTGACGTCGAGACAAGATGGAACTCTACATATTTGATGTTAGAGTCAGCCTTAAAACTAAAAAGAGGTTTTGATATGCTCGAGTTGGAAGATGATAAGTTTCTGGTAGAACTTGGGAAGTTAGGAGGTGCACCTATTGAATCAGATTGGGATTATGCAAAGACATATGCCCCTATTCTCAAGTTTTTCTATGATGCCACTTTGAAAGTTTCAGCTACTCGTTACGTCACTGGGAATATGTATCTGAAGGAGATATTTGGGGTTGGTTTAATGATACGAAAGCTTGGGCTGAACAAAGTTGATCTGAATCAGAAAGCAATGGCTGTTAAGATGAAAGCAAAGTTTGATAAATACTGGGGAGATATGGAGAACATGAACTTAATGATTTTTGTTGCTTGTGTTATTGATCCTCGGTATAAGATGAAGTATGTGAGTTTGTTTATCCGTGAAAGCTATGGTTCTGGTGGTGATAACATAGCTGAAGCCTTGATTGAGAAAGTAAACATTGTTATAGAAAAGATGTTCAAATACTATCAAGCTAAAGCATCTAGTTCTTCACCAGAAAGTAGCCATGTTCAAGGAGCAAACACTTCTTCAGAGGTAGTGAAAGAAGCTGCAGATATTTATGACCTTGATTCTCTTATTGATATGCATGAAGAAAGTGAAGAAAATTCTGTTTATCAATCTGAGTTGGAGAGCTATTTGACTGAAGCATGTGTTCCTAGATCAGATCCCAAATTTGATGTTTTACTATGGTGGAAGAAGACAGGATCAAGGTACAAAACTCTTTCTCTAATGGCTAAAGACCTTTTGGCTATACCGGTCTCAACCGTTGCGTCTGAGTCAGCATTTAGCACAAGTGGTCGTGTCATTGATCCGTTCCGCAGTTCTCTCACCCCTAGAATGGTTGAAGCTTTAATTTGCACTCAAGATTGGATACGCAATGACTATGACAAAAGTTCGCTGGAAGACCAAATTGAAGAACTTGAAATCCTAGAAAATGGTATACGCTTGCTTTTAGTTATTTATAAATATATTTTATAATCTTACAAAACTTGTTTTGTTTGACAGAGTTTACAACTTCTGGTTTGTATGGAAACTTGGTCCAAGGAGTTAGCTTAACTATGGACGAGGAATGAAGGTAAAAACTACTTTCTTTGTTTCATGTTTTTGTATGCAACTTGCAAATGTTTACTTTAAATCTACGTGGTGTTTCAAAATCTTTGTTTTAACTCTTCCTTTGTTATATATCATCACACATTAAAACTTAAAAATTACATATTCTTGTTTTCTTTGCTAACTTAACATTATACAGTAAGTTCTGCTACTGCTCCTATGATACTAAGAAATAAAGTCTTAGCCTTTTGTTCTGTACTCTGGCCTTCGTGCCTTTTTAAGGTTTTTTAAAAGAAAAATGTAACTTAGAAAATAAAGGTAGTTGATCTACTTGAACTTCCCAATTTCTGTCTGTGTAACAAGTTATGCATAAATGTATTTGTAGATTCACCAACTTACGTGTTTTGTGTTCTTCAATAACTAATTTCTACCTCTTATTGTGATGATTGTTGTCACTTGTAAAATACAGGAACCGAACAAGTAGCTTTTGGAATTTGGCATTGACATTTGGATGGACTAGTATCCAAATAACTAGAAAAGAATATTTTGGTTTTTGTATATTGTCAATGTCTATGGGTATTTTGTCTTTAGCTTGTATGTAAAATACTTAATAACTGATGCTTAAGAGTTTGTATGTGTATATGAAATTGTGTTTTGGGTTTCAAATATTTTATATTTAAGTAGTCAAAGAAAATAGATTAAATAATTGAGAAGATAATATCA